GTTCTTCATTGACAATATTATTTCTTGCTACTTTTTACTTCACCAGGTTAGCCTTAAAAATGGCATTATAATAAGAATAACAATACATTTTATTGATTAAGCTCTTTTCAAGTACCCAAAGACATCAACAACACAAAAACACACATTAAATCACACATTAAATCACACATTAAAAGCTTGTTCATAATAATGTGAACTTAATGGTTAATGTTTTAAAAAGGTTTTTCCTCTGGGAGCAATGGACACTATTTTTGGGCTCCCTATGTGTCTCGTAGAGAATAATTAAGCTACATCTTCAGCTGATGGGTGCTGAGGTTACTTTATCACCAACTGGTCTGGCATCCTTTGCCCGAGCATGAATTGTTATCCTGCATCGGACAAAATCAGAATCAGAATCAGAAATACTTTATTATTCCCAGAGGGAAAGTCAATTGTTTCAGTTGCTCCAAAATATACGATATAGCAGTGGAAATATAGTAATGAAATATTAATCAAATAGAATAGGAACGTAAGTAAGCTTGAAAATGAATGAATGAAAGTTAAAGCTTGATGAAAGAAATGGTTGATTAATAGTCCATGCATTACAACAACAGACATTAAACAAGAGCTTCTGACAGCAAAATCTTGTTTCTATGGAGATTAAGTTGTATGACTGTAATATAATGAATTTCTCTGATCCATCTAGAACCGTATGTGGCGTAAGACCAGAAAGCCCAACCCCGGCTCCAACTGTGTTGGAGTTGATCCCAACAGGAACTGGGATGCTGCTTTTGGAGGTAAAGTTTTCCTTCTTAACCAAGAGTTAAGAAGGACTTTAAAGACGGATGGTGGCTTCCGTGTTCTTGCAATTCCTTTGACACAGTTGTCATCCCTTATTAGGACCTGGTGCCAGTGGCAACCCCTGCTCAGAGACCTACCATGGACCCAGTGCTCATTCCGAGTCGGAGGTCAGGTCTATTGTGGACTTTGTGAAGGCCCACGGAAACATCAAGGCCTTCGTCTCCATCCATGCCTACTCCCAGATGCTCCTCTACCCCTATGGCTACACCAGGACTCCAGCCAAGCACCAAGTCGAGCTGGTAAAAATCAAACCCCTTGCCTTTTTTGACTGATTTATTAGACCAAACTAGGAAAATAGAGATGTTCTCCAGGCTCATTTGTTTTGTAGTCTCTGTTAAGGTTTGCTTGTTATGTTATGAAAGGTGAAAATATGTTAAGAGAAAAATAAGAAACTATGTTTAGAAGTAAAATATGACCATAATTATCACTTCTTACAGCACAACCTGGCTAAGAAGGCTATCACTGACCTGGCCTCTCTGTACGGTACTCGCTACAGATATGGCAGCATCATCAACACCATCTGTAAGTTTCAGCTTAACTGTTTATAATAAAGATTTATACTAATGTATCTCACCTTACAATAATCATCAGGAAATACCACATGATGTCTTGAAAGAAGGGAAAGTCCAAGGCTTTAATCACTTCCCCTTAATGGTGCTTAAAGGGATACTTCACCCATTTGCATTAAGCATTGTATCAGTAGTAAACTGGTAGTATTTTTGAATGGTCGTGCATCCAGGCCTCATTTCCCCCTGAGACTGGAAAGTTCTGTATTTCTAAGTCTGTAAAGGAGCTTCCAGTGATGCAAATATTGTCATATTGTGTCACTGGAAGCTGTTGCGGTTAGCGGTGTGAAACTACAACGCTAGTTTTTCGACCACTGAAGCTACAGACTTATCACAGATCAGTGGGTGGGAACTCACTCCCAGAAACGAAACTTAACGTCCATATATATACATATAAATATAGCAGTGAGACGGCTGCTGCCAACAGGCCGGTCCTGTGTTTTGGCTGCTGCGGCCAGCGGCTTCTATTTATATTAAGACTGTGTTTAAAGTCTACACAGAATGCAATCTTATTTTAAAGCCAATGTTGAACCTACTCTACCTACCACAGACCAGGCTAGTGGAAGCACCGTGGACTGGACCTACAACCAGGGCATCAAGTACTCCTACACCTTCGAGCTCAGGGACACCGGCCGCTATGGCTTCATCCTGCCAGCCAATCAGATCATCCCCACAGCCACCGAGACCTGGCTGGCTCTGATGGCCATCATGGATCACACCTACAAGAACCCATACTAATCTGTGTATGAGTGAGTGTGTGTGAGTGGAAATCCCTGAAGAAAGGATAATGTTTGGAAAAGACACCTGCAAACTATTTTCCATATAACTAATATCACCTTCATCACATCATCATCATGATTCATCTGAGAAATTGAACACCATAAACAAACAAATAAAGGATCAAACTGTAAAAATGCTGTTTCTCTTTCTTTATCATTTAACAGCCTCTTAGGTTGGATACACGTTTATTCTGCCTCTGCATTCCCCCACCTGTCTGCATCACTCCTGAATTATTTTAAATTCTCCGTACTGAGAAGATCACCAATCAAACGTATCTGCTTTTTGGAGACTTTAACTCATCTTGGAAGTACATTAAAACTTAAATGTATTTTTTAGCAGTACCCGGTGGAGACAGCACACAGTTACAGAGTCTAAGAATAAAAAGTAACCTACAGATGTCAAAAACAAAATTAAACTTTAAATATAAGAATACAGCCTAATTATGTGTGGCATTACAATGCTCCAGTAAGGAACTGTTTGCATCGATTTTAGCGCCATCTATTGACAAAAGAGTATGTCTTATGTATTTTCCGATCTCCTCCTGTGCGTGTGTAAGATGTGTTTTCTGACAAATGTTATCATCCTGCGTTGTTTTTAACAGTCAACTATATCACTATTGGGAATATTTGCTGTTAATTGTAAACAAAGGATATTTCTGCAGCTTCCTGTAACCCACTTCTCTCCTGACATCGGCCCCCTAGCACTGCTTTCAGACATTAAAAATGACCATATAGAATCGGTCAATGTTATCACTGATGATCTCATTTGATTTTGTTGGTCGTATAAAGGCCTCAATATTAATGTCTTTCTGTTTCATCAAAACCTAAAAACTCCTCACAGTAGCTTTAAATAAAACTTTATTTAATTTAGTTTGAGCCCAATTTATTCCTTCCCGTCTCATCTTTCAACTTTGAGCCGATGTCGGTGTACACTGTTAGAAAACAAACAATTCTTAATGTATTAATTCAAGAAAAACGAGTCTCTTTCAAAGCATTTTTTCAATTTTCTAAAACTGACCTTTGGTGTGACGATTGATACAACAGATCAGCCTTCCCTCTTAACAGAAGGCATTTTTAAGTACAATTAATTCAAAGTTACAGGACAAGAAATAATCAGTCATTGTTGCTATATATACTTGTGTGTGTGTGTGTGTGTGTGGAATAATTTACAACAAACTCTCAAAATTGAGTCTTGTTTTTCTTGGATAAATGAAGATAATTACCTCAAACCACTTAACCACAGTGTGTGATTGTTTTTACTGAGAATCATCCCTCTGTTGTTTTATTTGTATCTCGACATGAGGTCATGTAAATGAAGTAAACCTCAATGATTTTCAAGGCTTATTAAATATATTCTATCAACATTTCCAAAAGTTACTGTTAAGACTAAGAAATAATTCAGATACAGTAAACATCTATATAATTTATTCAACATTCATTTACAAACTAAATCCTGTGATCAGATCATTAGTGTGTGTGTGTGTGTGTGTGTGTGTGTGTGTGTGTGTGTGTGTTGACTGATAGTGAAAACAAATCACAAACAAAGCCTTACATTTTTACACATTTTCAAGGATTCAGGGAAAGTCGCTCATGAACCACGCAACACGTCACAACCACGCTAACCAAACAAAAGGCCACAAATTAGCAATACTGTTTTAAAAATGCATCTGTTGGAACGCAAGTGCTGCTCTTTTTTTTTTTTGTCAAACAGGAATCACAAAATGCCCATTTCCCTCCTTTAGTGACACTGCCATGTTGTGATACTTATAGTCTGTGTGTTCGTGAAGGCTTCAAGAAATCAGGTTATGTGATGCACAAACACAAATAATCATCGAGTAACAGCATCACAGGACCAAAACATGTCGCAGGTGAAGGCTGAGAAGTCGTCAGTTTGGGACAATGTGACGAGAATTACAAAAATACAGCACAGCTTTTCATTATTTTACACAATAGAACAAACTCTGTCACATTAGTATGATAAATTATATCCTCATTTAGTACATCCCAAAATATCCTTCATGTCACAAATCAACATTCAATTATTCAGTCTCCATAACAAAACAAAAAGTCACATAAGAATGCCACCGACCAATGGGGAGGTTGTCGTGTCAGTATAGAGAGAGTTCTGTAAAATAGTGAGACAATTAAACAGGTAACCGTTCAAAATGAGTGCTGACTTCTTCAGGTTCATTGACTGGTAAAGACAAAAAAGGATGAGATTAGCGTCAGGTGAAAAATTTAAATCGAGTGCAAACAGATTCATCACTTTTCAGGTTCACAGATGAGGCACTGTGCAGACATTCAAATACACAGCATTTATTAAATATATATTAAAAACAACATTAAAGGTGACATGATTCTGTCTGACGTAACTCTCAAAAGACCATGAAGAGTGCACCAAGTCTGAAATGATACATTTTGTTTTGATCCCACAATCTTTTCGAGAGTTAGGCCCCGTGTCCACCTAGTGCGCCAGCGTCTTTTTTTTCCAATGAGTAGAGAGCGCCCGTGCGGCATCAGGCGGCCGTCTGGAGAAAAAGCCCGGCGCACAGCGTCTTTTTTTACGAGCACTTTTTTATGTGCGACTGCTCCTAGCATTGAAGTTGAAAATCTTTCATCTTTTCAGAAAGCCACATTTGGCGTCACAGGGGCATTTTTCCAAATGTAATGTTGATACTCGCCGTAGTTTTGCCGGCTACTGATCATGTCTTGCACCCACATCCTCTTTGCTCCGTGTCTGATTGGTCGATAAACGATCTTAAATAAAAAAAGATACAGTACAAAGTAACAGAGCAGTGTCGATCATACAGCGGCCGTTGCCAACAGACTGTTGTCATAGGGATGGACGGGCTGCGTTTTTCTTCTCAGCGCACAAACGCTTCATACAAGAGCTTCCAAGCGCACAGTCAGCACTTTTCTGCCCCTGCATAAAACGCTAGGAGGACATGGGGCCTAAGTTGATTTTGAAGGGAAATTGAGCGGATTACATTCCCACTTTCTCGAGGTGTGTTTGATTTCCCACATTTAGAAATTATACAAAACCTCAGAGAAGAATTCATTTAGGCGCTGTGTAATAAGAACTTCTGACATAAAGGTAGTTGAGGGAACTAGAAACATGTGGATGTGCACATTCTTGTGTTTGAGTAAATATATAAAGGGTTGTGGAGTTGTTTTTATTCCACCTTACTGGGCAGCTTTATCTCAGAGCATCATGTTACACACTGTTAAAAGCTATGGAGCAGATAGAATCAACTTTTGAATGAACGGACTTCTCTCTGGAGGTATGTTTGTTTTTTTAATCATGGATGAAGAAGTTGGGTGTTGGGTATTATTTCCACGGTCTGCTGCTCTGAACCCGGGCGCTGTCCCTCCCAGCGGTGCAGGAACTCTGTCGACTCGGGGCGCTGGACGCTTTAGACTGGAAGCTGCTGGTCGACATGCGGCTGGACATGCGGCCTGCAGTGAACACAAACAATACTGAGGGGAAGCAAAGCCATCAAAGGGAACAAAAATATGATTTGTAGGACTGACATTTAGGTCAAGGAGATACAAGTTTTAGTGCAGAAATATTCACGGATTACTGCCAAGCCAGGTCTCGCTAATGGAAACCATTTGAAGGATTGTGCAGCAATTTAGACATGATATCATTCAAGATATTTGTTAAACACAAAAATGTAATCTCAGAGTATATACATCAATAATTTACATAGTTAACGCATGGTGAAGCTGTGATACTCTGAAGAAAATACACGATGAAAACATTCTCTGTCCTAACAGCAGGCGATGCAAGCGAGCACCAGCAAAAAAATCAGCTTGATTCTATTGTTTTCTTAGCGAAGCAGTGCGGCTCGAAGGCAAAGCACAACATTGACGGCAATTCCTGAGAGCTCTAATCAGCTTAGAAACAATCTTATAAATCGGCTTAATATGGCTAACCAATTGGTCATTCTCGCTCCACCCTATTGCACAGCTCATTTTTGCACAGCTCATTTTTTTGTAAGGATATTCCAGACACCCAAATGAATGTTTTAAATATATGTTCTGTCTTACTGCTGGAGTTACTGGGGATGAGGATCTCGTCCATCTGCTCATGAAGCTTGGCCAGCTCTTCCGAAGTAAACCTCCATCTCTTCTCTGCCGCGTGCACCGGCTGCACAGAGCTCTTCTTTCTGCCCGATGATGTCGGAGAGGACAGGCAGGACTTTGGGATGGAACCTGTCGTCATGCCTTCTGGAAATTTCTGAGCAATTACCTTGAGACCTGGAAGAGGCATGATAACTCTTTCACCACACAGAGCCTGCAACCGTTTTTTTTTTTTTCCCCCCCTATCTCATTATTCTTTAGGATTAGTTTGACATTACAAATAAGTCAAATGTATGAGGAATGACTTGATTAACTTTGTAATCTATTAATTTATGTAGATGTAGATGAGACAGCTTGCAGTATATCTTACCTCCAGACAGCATAAACAGATTCTCAAACCCTCGCTCGCACATGGTGGTGGCAGCCTGGCTGGCTATCCTCTCGTCCTCGTCATACACAATGATGATCCTCCCCGCAGCATTTTTCTACACAGGTCGTGGGTTAAGTTCAGAAGATTTAAAAGAAAGTGGCAACCACATTACATACAATACACAAAAAGACGCATTTTTCCTAAAGTTTTTGTGAGGTTTGTGTTGAAGGATACATATTCCAGCACTTCTTTTGTGTAGGGGTTCATGGTTCGAGATAGCATGGCGATGGGTAAACTGTGTGCTGAAGCAGAAAGAGATAAATGAAACAACAGTTCATATCTTTGGTACTAGCAGCTGAACGACCTGGCTTCATGTTCTTGCACCTACCGCTGATGATGTGGCAGCGGTCGTATAAGTCCCGGTCCCGTACGTCCAGCAGCAGGTAGGGGCAGTCTGGGTAGGGCCTGTCAACTGGCTCAGAGATCAACACAAACTCATTCTCCTTTTTCTGAATGTTCCTGTCGAGGTTCAGCTCTCCCACACCACTAATAACACTGTAAGTGATTTAAAATAAAGGTAGAGGCTGTAATACATGTAGAAATACAGACCTACGTATAGATGTGTGTCTTTGTAATCTATATTTAACTCATTATATTCCGGGATCTGCTCTGAACAGCTCTTTGCATTTTTAACCTTACCAATAAGAAGAGAATAAGTTTTTATTTTGTATTTGTTGGGGGCATTACATTGTTAACATTCCTTACATTTTAAATGCAACACATACTTATAAAAGCATCATTAAAATGACTTGTACCATGGCACCTACAGTTTAAACTTGGTACTGCAGTCCAAAGTCAAAACATTGAAGAAAGTTGTCTCCCCCCGCCCCGTCCTTCATAGAGTCGATGCGCATGCGGGTTGCCATGTCCTGGACACTGAAGCTTCAGTGTTTAGCCAGCTTTGCATCGGTCTGTAAACCTTTCTGCTAAACTCTACAGTTAGTCTTTAAAAATCCAAATTAAGATATATATTGACACCTGTTGGCCATTGGGACAGGTCATTCCTATGGTGAACATGTTTGGAGCCCCACTTCTACTTCCCCTGTGACTGTTGGTTCATGGTTCAGTCACTGATTTTGTTCCTGAAAACAGTGAAAAGATGACCTGTGGAGTATCAAACCAATCAGGGGAAACCAAAGCCAAGAAGAAAAACTGTCAATGCAACACATGGACATATGGAGCTGAGCCAAACAATAACTGTAAAGACACACCACTATCCTCTTGTGTATTTGTACATAAGCAATGCCCTACTCTCTCTCCGTCTACGTATCCTCCCCACAATATGAGGGCACATTAAAGCTCCGTCATTACAGAGGCCCAGTCCTGTGCCCCCCCCCCCCTGAAGGGAGCACAGATAGAGTTACACTCCTGGGGTTCATGTTCAGGCTGCAGGTGGAGAAGAGACGCAGGCGAGAGGAGGAGAAGATGTAAAGCACAAATTAAAGGAGGGTTATTGTGAGGAGTTTTGGGGGCGTGCGACAGGAAGATGTCTTCAGGGACAAGACATGGAAGCACAGTTTGATCCAGTGCTGATACAGATGTTGTGGGCGGGATTACAAGTGTGGACTTCAGTGTGACTGAACGGCTCGCTGCACGGTGTGTACACAAAAATGAAAAGGCCAACTAATTTTGAGTACAAAAACACAAATCTTGTCATTTTTGTCCTGATTCTCCAAGCAGATATATAGCTTGAAAAAAAAAAAAAGAGCCAGAGATGGTCAATTTAAAAACCAGTGCCGCCGCTCCACAGAGTGTTCAATGGTGGCTGCTACTTTCCAAAGCTCTTTTTGCCCTCCAAGCCTCCACGCCGGTCACCTGACTGAAAACTATGAATAATGTATAAAAGGAGCTGTTTAGTGGCGCTTTACCAGATAGCGAGCCGAACAGTACCTCAGTAGTGTTGACCTTGCAGTGTGGCAGATGTCCTTGCTGTCTCCTGCCTCCTGGCGATCTGAATGTGGTGACACCTGAGGGGAGCCGTTGGTGTGTTCAGAGAGACTCTCCAGGTCTGCATCAGACACCGCTGACACACTGTCTGCAAAGCAACAGATAGTCCCCAACAGACCTGTTAGAGACTTATATCCAAATAACACACACTATGTATTACAGGGTATCAAGTAAATTCATGTAAGTTACCAATGAGGATCGGTTTAAGAGATGAATAAAGATCTACAGTGTTTCAGTGAAGTCATCCGGCTCTTTTTACATTACCTTCTGGTAAATGTGAGTCAGCGTCATTTTCACTTTCATTCAGGGCTGATATGGAGGCTACCTGAAGTATCTGGTGCAAAAAAAGGGAAACCAAAGATGCTAATGCGAAGAAGAAAACTGATAATATTTGTGAGTGCAAAAAGAATGCTGCCTTTGAGTCTGTAGATGTAGGTTACACACCAAGTTAATGTAATTCACATGCATGCAGAACTAATCACATCATTAGTCTTCCAATAAAAAGCTCTATACGTGAGTCATGTTTTCTGTCAGCTTGATATTCTATTCAAAATGACACAAGTCTTGCAGCACGTTAAAGTAGTGCTAGGGAAAAAGCATTCATTCTTACCAACTGTGCAAATGTTGTCACCTTCAACCGCTTAAAGATTTCATCTTTTCTATATCTGTAATCTAGAAAAAGACAACAACAAAAAAACGTATTAGTGGCAGAAATTGCTTACTTTGCACCTACTGTTAAGGAATTGCTTTCACTTTATCGCAGAGAAAACAGGAGACAAGTCAACTCAAAAAGATCACTGTCCGCAAAGAACTACTTCAACTGGGAAATACCAGGGAGTAGAGACTCTGCAGTTTAGCTCCCACTCCACATGGAAAGACAAAGAAAAGGAACAAACAATCCATGGGGAAAAGGGGAGTGCCAAATTAGCAAATGCCTCTCATTCACATCCACACAGAAAAACGTTAAGGAGGGGATCCATTTGCTGACACCAAAGACACCAAAAGACTGAACTAACGTCATGGAGCCGATAGTTTAAGGCAAACCATAGGACAGAGACAGGCCCTATTCTTTAACGGGTTAACCACTGTATCCTCATGTACGAGGAACCTACACTGTTGATTAAATCTGAAAGATTTCATTCTGTCTGACAATGAAAAATCAAATGAAATTAAACATTTCTTCTTAATCAGAAGCAACACAAACAGACAACACCTTGACATGTATCAGTGCATCCTACAAATGCACAACATGACATATATATAGAGGTCACTTTAACACATGCAGAACACTTGGCTGTTCTTATTTCTCGACAACACATGTTACTTACTTTTTTTAATCTCCTCGAGTTTTTCCATATACTTTGAGAGGCTGCAACCTACAACATGAAAAGGACTGTTACATTCAAACTGGAATATCGATAAGATCATGAATGATTTTATTATTATTAATTTATCAGCACACATATAAGAATACATCAAAATAGGATTAACAAAAACATAAAAAAGGTGTGTCAGGAGAGGTCAAGAAGCCAACAGGCTTAGACAAGGGAGCTCACCTCTTAAGACACAAATAAAAAAATAAATATAAACACATATACAGTAACCTATACACGCATTCATACACACACTTAGACACATGCATACAATAGAAAGACTGAGAGTGTTAACCCTCTATCAGCTAAATTAAACAGACACTGATCTATTAAAAATGGAGTGAATGAGAGAGTACTTTGACACTTTATTGTGCACCAGTAGATGAACAACATACCTGTATCCAGCCTTGTTTTAACATGCTGATACTTGGCATTTTTTGGTGTCCTTTTTTTCATGTACTAGAAGGAAAAGACAACAAAGTATTAATGTTAAGTTAGCTGGACGACCATAAACAAATACGGGTTAACAAATGACACAAATCATCAAGGTAGCCTGGGAGGTCCACGTTATGTTATTACCGGCGCACTGTCGTTGATATGGCAACTTGAAACTGACTGCAGCTAACCAGCTAGCTTACTATGACTGCTACATGTGTTTGTGTTGGCTCAGGCTTGTGTTCACGGCAGATAAAATCATCGACAGTAGAATGTCACACGTTGCCAGGTTACAGAAGTAATGTAATGTTGCAATTAAACTAACGTTACCTCAACACTGCCGATTCCTCGATTGAGCGACATCTTTTTAAACTGCAATACATAACGTTACATTTCGTTTTTTTTAACATTCTCCGCGCTGATTTGTCCCCGCTGTCTCATGGGCCAATCAGAAAAGCCGATACTGGGTCACCGCTCCCTCAGCGCAGTTTCGTATGATATGGCTGGCTAGTTGCTTAGCAGCGGTAGACGCTCCACCTTAATGACGTGCCGCGTTCAAGTCTCAGAGGAAGAAATACGTTTTTTGGGGGCAATAGCAATACAAGGTATATTAAATGATAGTACCTACTCGTTGACGGCTCCGTCGAAATGTCCACTTATTCTAACCTTGATGGGTATCCGATACTATATGTCTGTTTAATTTCCATTCTTTTATACGTGTTTACTTGTTTAAAGGCTACAGTTGACTATATGGCAGCTCCTTTCGAATAAATATGCCGCATTGATGTAGAAATGCCTTGATCAACTCTCGACGAATGTACTGTTAGGTTGCCATATGAATTTACATCTTGTTACGAATGCTATCTTCAAGTTGTGATTTGAATTTTCGTCTTGGATTCTCTCGTTCACTCGTTTTCATATTGCTCCTGAATGCGGCACAGGCTGTCTTTTCGTTTGCCAAACAAAATGTAGCCACAGGTAGATAGTTGTGTAGCTGTAGAAACAGTGGATGTTATTCGACTCCTTATGCAATTTAACACATTTGCTCTCAATGAACTTCCACACGATTAAAAGTAGGCTGCTAGAAGACTGTCGACCGGAACTCGTATGATCTGAGATCGATAGATTTGGTCTGAGTCAGTTGCTGAAGGCGAACTTGTTTGACAGACATGGAAGTAACATTACAAAGCAGCGGGGGGGCTCGACTTTCCTTTTAACAACATTTGTTTTTTTTCTGACAAATGGCGTCTGTTTTGGTAAGTGCATATTTATTTTAGTACTTAAATGAACTTTTTAAACAAGAGTGTGTGTAGCTTGACAACGTGTACTGGTACTTAAAGCAGCTGAGTCGGCGAGTTTGCGAGCTGCAGCACAACTAATTGGATTTTCTGATTGGGAGGTGTTAAATACTTTCAGGGTCCTTGCAACATTGAAGCCTCATTTGTTGGGAAATTAAGTTCTTCCGCCCTGTTTCTTGTCCTCAGACGGGTTGTGTACCATTTGGGGCTATCATGCACAGCCCTCCAATATTACAAACACAACAGTTTTCATCAACCAGACCTAAAGTCTTGTAAGCACCTTTTTTTATGCTTTACATTGAAAGGTCGATATTCCCTTACTTTTTTTTTTTTTTTTCCCCAATCTGATTGTGAAATGAAGACTATGCAGATGAAGTAGGTAGTTTCACTGATTCACTCTGCACTGTGATTGCAGGACGACCCAACCCTGGAGCGACACTTCAAAGGGCATAAAGATGCTGTCACCTGCACAGACTTCAACCCAAACCGCAAACAACTGGGTAAGATGCTACTCAGATGTATTCCTGTATTCATTCACAGTCACACATTATGCTGTTGATTCCCACACATTTTGGAATACTGATTTCAGTGTTAAATCATGTATTTGCGTACTTCCTATACCATAAAACAACTTAATTGGTGCACAATTGTGTAGTAGGGACAATCACAGCCATTGTGTCCGGTATGATACCGTAGATACGTTAGATCTTAAGTAGAGACTGTGCACCTTTAGAAAATGATCACATGCTGGACATTCTGTACATAGAGGGCACCAGCTGACAGTATGGGGCTCTAAAACATGATGATTTACTGATGTTTTAGCTTGATCACATCTAGTAGCAACTATAAGAAAACTTTTTTTTTTCCCTAGAATGATCATGTTGGTTTCTTTCACAGTGGTGGGGCTCTCTCCGAGGGCTTTCACACTTCCACTTCTTGTAAAAACTCCTATTTGTAAACATACAAATAGGAGTTTTCCAAGAATTTTCTGTCTCAGTGAACAGTCTGTCTGTGTGTGTTTGTAGGCCTGTATATTAAGAGTGTTCATAACTACATGTCAATTCTGCAACAACAGAGACTTGATGGTCTACAGTATGTAGTTAAGGGAAAAAAGTTGTTGTATACATGTCAGTTTGCCAAAATAATTTAGAAAATATTCAAATACTGTACACGCCAAATTCCAATAACATGAATCCCTAATGAACAGAGACTTCATCAACAACTGTTTCAGTTTAGCCTTACTGAGATCACTTTATTCAATGTCATGGCCTCTTTGAATATCAGTAATTATATGCATTGTGTAATTCTTGACAACATTTTTCTCCACTCATCTTTCTTTTTTTCCTTCCTATAGCCTCTGGGTCAGCGGATAAGAATCTGATGATCTGGAATCTGGCTCCAAAGGGGAGGGCTTTCCGCTTTGTTGGCCACCAAGATGCTGTCACTTCTGTGCAGTTCTCCCCCTTTGGTAACCTTGTGGCCACTTCCTCCAAGGACAGAACAGTCCGACTGTGGACGCCCTCCATGTAGGCGCAAGTTACCATTACCACTTTGCATGCTATGTGGGACTTTTTGAGGCTTGGTATTTAATCTGTTTCCCCCCCCCCCTTCTGATGTGTCTGCGTCTCATAGGAAAGGAGAGTCAACTGTGTTCAAAGCTCACACAGCTCCTGTAAGAAGTGTTGCCTTCTCCCACGATGGCCACAGACTGGTGACAGCATCTGACGACAAGTCTGTGAAAGTGTGGAGCGTTGAGCGACAGTGCTTTGTCTACTCTCTCAGCCAGCACACCAACTGGGTGCGCTGTGCCAGGTACCCTCTCCATCTTCTAATGCTGACGTGTGTTTGTGTGTGAGTGTGTTGAACAGGTTGTCTAAAAAGTTGCTTTAGTACAAGTTTTTTGTCAAATATTTATCCTTGCATATACAACAAAAATTCACATCAAGACTATTTTTTTTTTTTAAATAGAGCCTGACACATATAAAATTTAAAATTTAAGACCAATACTGCTTTTAGAGTAGAAAAATAAACGTATTATTAGGATTTTTTTAAACTTAAAGGAGCAATATGTAAGATTTCTACTGAATTAAATCATGAAATGACATATTTCATCATCAGACATTAAGGAAACATGCTATGTTGAAATACAAGCGTCTCTGACAACAAAGCAGCAGCCAGTATGTCCTCCTCCTAAGTTTAGATTCTGGTCCTGAATGCTCTGTTTTTTTGTTTTAACCAGAGAAGGTAGGCAGATTTAAGTCAGCCTGAAAGGCCTTTTTGGACGCCCCTTGGTTTACATTACGTTACATATTGCTCCTTTAGAAATACCCTTTTCATTTTGATCAAATTGTAATCTTCAAACATGGAGATTTTTATTAGGTGCTCAGAAGAAGGCTTTCCTCGACATACAGTATTACTTAACATTCTAATACATTGTGTAGTGGTGACCACTTCCTGCTCAGCTGTGAGGCCCTGCTACAAGTTTTTTAGTATCATAAACAAAGGAGATAAAGAGCACCTTCTGGATATCACCGATTCTGGATACAGATTTTTATCTGAACTATTTCAAAATATTTGGCACTCTAATCATTATCGGTGTGTTTGAAAGGTGAAAAGAAAGTAAAATAGCTGGTGAAGTTTATAACATTAGGAGTGTTAAACAGAAGATTACTAAGAAGTTGATGTTCCCTCACTTTGTATGATAATCATGTGTTGTCTTTTCTTGATGAAGGTTTTCTCCAGATGGACGGCTGATAGCTTCGTGTGGAGACGACCGCACCGTCAGACTGTGGGACACGTCAACCAAACACTGCATCAACTGTTTCACTGACTATGGAGAGTAGGTTTGAAAAAAAACAGTTTTATTGTATCTCTCTTTTTCTTAGCTCAAACTTTGAACTCTTCTTAACTTTTGGCTTCTTTTTCAGTTATAGCTATGGGACTTTAATTCTGTTTCAGTCACCATATCAAATAGTCTTTTTTGCTGTAATTGTATGTAGGGTACCTTCTCATCTTTTTCCCCTGTAGGAGTCAATTTAGTGTGTGTATAATTGTGTATGTTTGGTCATTAGATGGTGATAATAGGTCATTGGGGTTGAGATTATTATATAACGTGTTTGTTTTTGCTCACGAGTACGTTCACACAAGAACCAGTACATTTCAAAACAGGCAGGGGCGTGTCCAGAGGGGTCGCATGGGCCCCCCTTTAAAATTAGATTGGCCACCTCAAAATCAAAATCTATGAGTGGCTATTTGCCAAATCAGAGGCGGGACTACAAATCCACTATTCTGGCTGTTTCCAACAGGCTAATGGTGCTTTCATTGTAAACAAATACTTTCCATGCACGCTGTCTTACTTGTAATGGACTTACTTACCGGTACTTGCCAATAAATGTAATTTTGCAAGTTGGACAGAGTACAAGAGTTAGCACACAATTTTTGGGGTAATCAATACAATTTTGACTTTGCTCATACAACTTTGTTTTTGAGTCCCTAAAGAATTGAGCTATTTAGGTTTATACGTTACTTACATATCATTTGTGAGGATAGAAGGAGTAAATAATTAAATTCATTTGGGTTCATGTGTCCACAAACATTATGCCACCCCTGCATAAGTCAGTGCTCCAGGTGGGCCGCCCCAGTTGATAAAAGTCTGGACACGCCCCTGAAAACAGGATTCCAGGAGAAGGAAAATATAGATTTTGATTTCAGACTATAATTTGAAATATCACTTAAGATAGTTAGAGTTCTTCAAAATGCTTTACAAGTCTGATGTAAAACTAAATAGCTTCATATTTTTCATAGATGGTTTAGCTGTATAATACAGTACACACAAGACTTTGAAACTGAAGCAGCTCACTGAGTGACGCTTGTTATTCCAGATCAGCAACGTTCGTTGATTTCAACCCAAGTGGCACCTGCCTAGCATCCTCAGGAGCTGACAGCTCACTAAAGATCTGGGATCTACGGACAAACAAGCTCATCCAGCATTATCAAGGTATCTCAACACATCAGAGCTGTGATTACAAAACAAATTAATTAGAGATGTCTTTATAATATACAACACTGTCCATGTAGTCACAGTTTCCAGCTGTAGAATAAACCCAAGCGTTCTCCAGCATGATGTTCAAACGATGTAGATATTTAACTATTTCTGTTTCAGTGTCTGACTTCCTCTTCTACCTTGTATCAGTCCACAGTGCAGGAATCAACAGCTTTTCCTTCCACCCGTCCAACAACTACCTGATCAGTGGCTCCACTGACAGCACTGTAAAGATCCTGGACCTGCTGGAAGGGCGCCTCATCTACACCCTGCATGGACACAAGGTCATACAGCAGCACAGCAAACATCATCACACAGTATCAGATATAATTGTCAATCTGAAGAGCTTAATTCAAGTTCCAGTTTTAGTTCCAATTAGACCTTTATGCTTTTTGTCAGGGTGAGTTTTAACTTTTCTGAGAATGTTGATTTTGTTTTTCAGGGTGCTGTAATCACAGTTGCCTTTTCCAGGGCTGGAGATCTCTTTGCCTCGGGGGGAGCTGATTGTAAGGTTGGTGTTTCATGACTCAATAACGTTTATATTCAGAGGTTTTACTTTGACGTTGAATGGAAGAGAATCTGAGAAATATGGGTCACCGAAGTTATTCTGGTCCCTCAATGCTGATGTGCCCTAGGTGCTGATGTGGAGGACAAATTTCGACGCCAAATCTTACCAGGACGTCCTGCAGCAGCACAGCCGGAGGTCCACCCCGGATCCCCCGCCACACCTGACTGACATCCACCCCAGAGGACCCCACCTTCACCGCCAGCAGCCCAGAGCCATTCAGGTCTGCCAGTGGTGAATTCTTCAACAACATTATCTACTGGGCCTTAAAAACTAACTGGAAGAAAGAGAAACTTCCCAAGTCCATGAATGAAAACCGTGTCAATCACTTCAGGCTCACTAGCGGTCGCTTTTCAAAATGGCTTGACAGTATTTTCCTGCCTGAGAAAGCATCATTACCTCTTGCTTAGTTTACAATGACCCTGTTTACATGCCATCACTGCACTCTCAAGATATATCTAGTTGCTGTGATTTTAAATGTAACATATGCTGTTTTTATGCACGGCGTTTTGAGTGTGTTGTGATTTGATTGTGATCCGAGACAAAATTCTGTGCAAATGGATAATAAAGTGTTATCTTATGTAAACCTTCTTACTTTCTCTTCTCTCCACAGATCAGTCAAACGGTGGCAGACACACAGTCCACTGATCCTCAGGTCATAGAGTTGGGCCGAGCTGCTCACAGCGCCAAGGTAAGATGGCCTATTATATCTACAGTCACATTTCTACAAGAAAGTGAGATCAAACTAAGGTTATGCACGTAATCATGTTGCTGAACTGAACTCTCTACACTGCCATGGGAAAACAGCCTCCTCGAGAGATAGTGATACTTGATGCAAAGACAGACAATGTAGAAACTGTTGTACAATGATAGCAGCACACAGATGTTTACAAGCACAGTTACATAGGAGAGTAATGCGGTGGAAAGCAAGATATAGGGAGTCACTGGAAATTCATCCCTGAAATACGATATAAGCAGTCAGTGTGTAATATATTGACATGGATTCAGTTAATTCAATTCAGTTTTATTTGTACAGCCCATTTCATACAAAAGTAAACTCAATGTCAAGACAAAAATAAACAAGCAGAAAACAAACTTGTTAAAAAGATTCAAAAGCCACTTTTAAATCCAAAACACATTTATAAAAGGAGCCTGCATCATCCATTACATCCATTCAAACACCTGTTCCTACTAGAGCGCATGAACAGGAATACCAATGTGTTCCAATGACCACCAGGTGGCAGTGCAGACTGATCGAAACATTTCCCATCATGCTTCACTAAATGCACATGCGTCACAGGACAACAGCTCATTCACTTCAGAAACATCAATGCCGACAGAAAGCAACACTCTGCTTTCTGTCTTCTTTCTAAAATCTGTGTTTATTCTTGTAAATCCTTCCTTTAGCATCATGTTCAGAAAGACGCACACAATACTCATATCTTCTTACTCTACACGTCAATGCTGCAGAGCGTCATATCACTGCAGAGATTACAGTCATAAAGTGTACTATAAGTTAGAAGAAATTGTGACTTTGATGATGTTGAAAGCTGAACAACAGTTTATTAACTCTTTCGTAGTGGCATTCTAACGACCAAAAAAGGCCACTGGAGGGAATCTGAAATCTTTCCAACTCATGGTGGGTAAAAAACAAAGTCCATCATGGAATTTGCTAAACTCTTTATTAACAATCATTTAAAAACTTACAAAAGGCTGGGTGTGTATTACGTTAGGTAAATACTTTTGTCAGTACTGCCAAACAACAACCACAGCCAGCCACTGAGAGTCTGTGTCAGAGCAGCAGGCAAATATACACTTTACCATAAAAGACACTTTACCATAAAAGACCAACTTTTTCAGCTGCTGTTTGCATTTCTTCCCCTCAACCATGTGAATGCCACGTTGAATTTACTAGATCATTTCTCTCTGTAGTTTGTTATTGTGGCTCAGCAGAACCCATCTGGGGCTGCAGGGCAGTGACCTGGCCTTGAACTTGATTAGCAGCCAAGTTCACGATGTGTTGCAAGGTGAAATCCTGGATGTGAATTAGCGCTATCCGCTTACTCCACAAACGCTGATCCTGGATAAACGTGTAGAAACATGAGATTTATGTAGGTGGATCTTGATGCACGGGTTTACTGAGCATTAGAAAAACTATGTCAATATGCAAGACATTTTTGTTTCTATCATTGCATCCAACAAAATGTCTCATCATGCATCATCTGAATCCATTAAAAGGCATTTCTTACAACAACATTAACATGCTGCAGATCCAAAGTGTGGCTACTAAGCGCAGTAAGAGTTGGGTTTAGCAGCATGTCTCATCTTTAAATAGGATTCTTTCAAAGTAGTTCATGTAGGAAGGTGCCCCCTACTGTTGAAAAGTAGAATGACAGAACATCTGCGGTATCTCTGAGGGTCACAAGAATCAAGCTCTCTGAAGACAAAATTAATTTACATGTACTCTCAACTCAGGTCCCTTATCCATATTGACACATAACCGTGTTGATGTTCCTCCAGTTGTGCATTAGGCATTAACTTAGCCAGCATCAGTAACACAACAAACCATACACCATAAAACAATCATAACAATGGATTATATTTACATCGCTCAATTGTCACAACCCATGTTCAGTGAGCTGGACAAACAGGGAGACCACACAGTTTATTTAAACAATTATTGATTGAAAACTAAGGCAAAAATATCCTTATGAAATGATATGCAGTCTGTAAATCAGTGTTGATTGCAATGGCAAAACAAAGACAACAAACCAAAGTTGATGATGACAAGTGAGAGAGAGAGAGAGAGAGAGAGAGAGAGAGAGAGCTTAATTAACCAGGCCCAGTGTGCCCAGGCGCATAAAATCCAATTACCTGCCTTTGTCCCTATTTACCTGGAAGCAACCTGAATGGGGGAAACCTTGGGGGAGAGACCCAAGGCAACAGGAGGAGCACTGACAGTCAGAGGTCGTCACACAATTAATAACATAAAGAAGTTCAGTCAGGTGCAGAGAAAGTCATCGGTCATATCTATGTTATTAGTGCATCATTGCAAATCAAATATTTAAAGGAGCATTCAGTGGTAACTAATATTTAATGTCCAAACCCTCAGCATGCACATGTGAACGTGCTCCAGCTCGTTGATGTTTATTGTTGAGCACTATTGAGGCATGTTTTTTTTTTTCCTTTTCTAATTCCTAAAGTGAAATGATGAACAGTGTTTTTTTTGGCTGTGACTTTTCTTTTTAAATTACAATGAAAGTTGTGAAGAGGTTTTTGTGTTCTTTTCAGAGTTGAGGGACGGATAAGCAAAAACATTCCCATTCATTTACTCTCTTTCTTGTTATGCTGTTGGAAAATAAAAATTCCTAGATACAAAAGAATTCACTTTCAATACCTTCCCCCCCTTCCATTAACCAGCCAAGAAAACAATTGAAGGAACAGTTTTTAGGAAATTACAGCTGAAGTTATGTTCCTCTAGCGCGCTGCACTATTTCTCTTAGTGTCTCCTTCTGTGCCTTTGGCTGCTGTGTGGGAGGAAAAGTCATGAATGGACCAAGCCAAGTGGAAGTCATTTAGAATCAGGATGGCCAAGTCAGATAAGTCGTTTTGGTTCAGGACTTCCAGTAAACACAGGCCTGCGCAGAAGCCATTCATAACCAGAAACATTCTGTTGTTAACATGAAAGTAAGTGGATGAATGGGCAGAGGAAGGGAAGTTATTTGAACTCACTTTGACTATGCAATGGCTGGATGTACTGTTAAAAGATCATCTCCGGTAACATTTCAAACAAAGGAATGTCTTTAAATGGACTTTTGGATTATTTTTACATTTGCATTTTAATTTATTTTACTTGATTCATACAGTGCATTGATAACTGAACCCATGCACAGCTCCTGAACAATTGCACGTGGGTTAAATGAATGTCGTTAAACCAAAGTTGAATGTGATTATTTTAGGAAAATGTGCAGCCTCAACCTTCTGGAAAGGACAGAGGTTACTTTCTTAGCTGTGAAACGATGTAATGTTAAGTCATTGCCTTACAAGATGAAGAAAGATAAAAAAGCTCAGACACATTAGTGCAAAATATTTGAGTGCTATTGGATTCACTTTCTGATTTCCTTGTTGCAAATCCCATTTATCTAGAAACTGTTTTTTTTTTTTCACACTGCGTGGCAGACACAGCAGGGTCTCTCTCAGATGTGTCTCTATCTCTCTCTCTCTCTCTCTCATCCTCTCTGCACCGTCCTCTGTTTCCCCTCTTCTTTTTTTGGAGGAGCTCCTCTTCACTCCCGACATGAATCAGCCAAGCATGCCTGAATGGAAAGACCCCTGAGAGATCTGAGAGAGAGAGAGAGAGAGAGAGAGAGAGAGAGAGATCAGAGAGATGGGTGGGGGGAGCAGGAATCCACGTGCCGATGCACTGCTCCTCGAGGGGGGCCCCAACCGGGGAGCAGCCGCCACAGCAGCAGCAGCAGCAGCAGCAGCAGCAGCAGCAGCAGCAGCCGCAGCTCTAATAATAGACTAGCTGGAACTGTGCCTGCCTGTTTAACTCACTGACTAACTCTCTGCACCATGGTGTCACAAACATTTAATACATGAACATTATTTTTAGCCGAGCCAAAAATAGCAGCATGAATGCCGGGCTCATACATGCCCACTCACTGTTGGTGCTTTAGATAAATGAAATGCACTAGAATTCACAATGCAACACACGGAGCTACTGATTTCATTCATCGCACATCCATCTCTCACGAGTGCCCCCTGTAGCTTGCCGTAGCCTCTGAGAGTCTATACGTTGAGTGAATGAGTGAATGAGCCTGCACGTGTGTGCATCTCGGCAAACGTGCCAACCTATGTGTGTGTTTGAATGTACTCGGAGTCTGTTTTTATATGCATACATGAGTCACTGAGCTTTGGAGTGTGAATGTGCGTGTGAGAGTCATCCCTGTTTAGCTCGGCCCAGAGCGTGGAGCCCCCCCCCCCCCCCCCACCCAGTGCTACTCCTCCTGTCAGCTCCTGTTGTCATCACTGAGGAACTCTCCTCTCTCTCCTCCTTCCCTCCAGTCTTTTCTTTCTTTCTTACCTCCTCTTTCTTCCATCATTGATGATGTCCTCTAAGAGCTTTCCCCTTCCGCCCCTGCATCCGTGTCCCCCCCCCCCCCCCCCCATTGCCTTAATGGGTCCGAGCGTGGGCGGAAACTGAAAGAGGGAAGGGACGGGAGATGCGAATGGCCCGAGGGAGGACGTGGGTGGCTTGATGTGGGGTAGTTCCTGCACTCACAGTGAGTTCCTGCTCCCACTGGTGACCTTTGTGTACCTAATTTACTGCCCTCTCCTGCTGACAGACCTGTGCACATGCTGTCCTGTGCAAGGTAAAGTTTGAATTGGTATGGAGTTGATGTCAGTATTGACACAATGACATTGATGTGGCATCAGCTGTAGCTTTGTCCTTTTGATCTCTCTCTCTCCCTCTCTCTCTCTCCCTCTCTTACCCTCTCTCTCTCTCTCCCTCTCTTTCTCCCTCTCTCTCTCTATCTCTCTCTCTCTCTTACCCTCTCTCTTTCTCCCTCTCTTTCTCCCTCTCTCTCTCTCTCTTACCCTGTCTTTCTCCCTCTCTCTCTCTCTCCCTCTCTTTCTCCCTCTCTTTCTCCCTCTCTCTCTTTCTCCCTCTCTCTCTCCCTCTCTCTC